CCCAGGAAACGACAGAGTGAACATACGCGGTGGGCATCCAAACACTTTAAGGTTGGCCAGAATCGGTTTCTTCATCGTCCACACTTGATATGGAGACTTGTCTTGGTGAATGGCACGTGTTGGACAGCGGTTTCGAAGAAACATCGCCGTCATCACTGCTTCACCCCAGTAGCTCTTTCCCAGTCCAGCGTGTTCCATCATGCAACGCGCACACTCGACCAGCGTGCGATTCATTCTCTCAGCTTACTCCGTTTAGCTGAGGAGTATATGGGGGGTGTGAACCTTGTTGTATTCCCCCGTTCCGCGCAGAATCGTGCCAGCTTGTCGGACTTGTATTCACCCCCATTGTCGCTTTGAAGGTACTTCACGCGCTTTCCGGTTTGCGTTTCGGCCATCGCAGCGTATTCCATGAACTTCGCCGCAACTTCAGATTTGCTCTTGAGCAGATAGACGACACAGTATCTTGACTTGTCATCAATGAATGTCACGAAGTACCGTTTTCCACTGAAAGTTGCCATCGACATCGGTCCGCATACGTCGCTGTGAATCACTTCGAGGAGTTTGGAGGTGCGAGCTGTAGTGTTTGATTGGAAGCGCACTCGAGTCTGTTTTCCCAGAGCACAACCTTCACACACGTCCCACTTCTTCACCGAAGATATGTCGATGCCAATTCCAATGTTCTTCGTCACGATGCAATTGAGTCCATCGTGACCTATGTGGCCAAGCCGAAGGTGCCAGAGGTACGACTTGGTGCCCCCTTGACATCCCGACGACTTGGCTGCATTTGCTTGTTCCGGCGCCACTGGAGTCATTTGCAGCTTGAACAGTCCTTTACCTTCACGGGCACCAATTTTCCACTTGGTCCCTTTCGCTTCTCCATAGCACCCATCCTTCGTGAACGTCACTGGGCCGACATCCTTGGTGAAGCGGCCGACCGAGAACAGGTTTCTGGATAACTTTGGGATGTGCCACACGTTTGTGAGCACACCTTTCTTCATCCCTTGGGGGTGTCTTCATCGACATGACAATGTCCCCACTGCCGATTGCTTGGACGATTCCGTCATCCGCGAGATGGACATCCACAGCGTCAAACCCCTTGTAGTTCCGCATGAACTTCTTGGAGCACGTCATGTGCTGCGTCGCCCCGGAGTCGACCAGCCAGATGTCGCTCGATTTCGCAGATGTCGTTTCACCGATCGAAAAGAGGTAGTCGCCCGAGTCTTCTTCTTGAGCGACGTTTGCACGTTGTGATCGATAGCGGTCGCCGCTGTCTTGAGCACGCTGTGGCCGGTGTCTCTCCGTGTTTTCTTGGATGCGCGAGGGGCACTCCGCCATCCAGTGACCAATCTTTCCGCAATTGTGGCACGGCCAGGACTTCTTCACTGGTCGCCCTTTGCGCTGATTGTCCCTTGTGATGAACGCTTGACCTTGCGAAGCTTCATCACCTTTACTTCCTTGCTCCTTCCGCTTCATTTCTTCATGAAGCAGTCGAGACGTCACGAGCTCCCAGCTAAGAGTGTCTGAGCGCGACTCCAAAGCTGTGATCAAGAATTGATACGAGTCACTCAGGCTGCCGAGGAGTGTGATCACCAGATCGTCCTCGCAGACTGGAGCCCCCACCGCTTCTAGCTGTTCCGCCAGCGTCTTGAGCTTGTTGATGTGTTCGAGCACATCGTCGCCTTCTTCCATCATTGTCGTGAAGAAGCGACGGCGCAAGAACAGCTTGTTGGCAAGACTCTTCTTCTCGAAGTGGTCTTCCAACCTTGACCATGCGTCGCATGCACCACTTGCCGACCGGACCAACGGTAGCTGGGAATCTTCCATGGCTAGACAGATCACTGCCATCGCCTTTCTTGACTTCCTCTTGTACGTCGCTTGGTCCAACTGAGTCTCGCACTGTTCCGCCTTGATCTCACCGCTGACGACCTCCCCATAGGTCCCGTTCCTCCAGCACCATCTGCATCTTGAACTTCCAGGCGTGGAAGTTAGTTCCATCGAACTTGGAGATGCGGAGGGAGGAGGCGTCCATGGCAGCTAAGCTTGAATTGTTGGCGGTTTCAGAGTCTGATGAACTTGGGCTCATAACCTGATGAACTTTAGACTTCTTGGTCCGAGTGCAAAACGCAAAGTGAATATATATTTATAATAGGTACTTAGCTCGCAACTTTGAATACTACCTCTAAGCCTATTATTCGCAGTGACGTCATCCAGTGACGTCACCCACTGACGTCATGCAATGACGTCATCCAGTGACGTCATTTCCTGACTTCGCCCTTACTGGTACATACCGGTACCCACCGGTATAGCGAAGCTTGGTCTTCCACTTGCTTCAACACTTGACGCAGCTTGACGAGGTGTCTTCTTCACAGCCGCTGTCTTTTCAACACCTAGATACTTCAAAATGAATAGGAATGCGCAAGGCCTAACTCAGTCACGAAGATGAAGATGCAAATATGCCCCGAGCAGTGCGCCAACGACCCAGATTGGAAGGGGCAAGTGCTTCAGACGACCTCTCTTCACGTCGAGCCAATAAAGATGAAGGAAGTCAGTCGAGCAACGTGACACACCAACTTCTTTCGTATTTCAACAGGTAAGTGCAAACGCTGTCGAAGCAGCAGTGCATCTTTGAGCCCGTCGATATTTAGAGAAGCAGTGACTGGCCCGGACCAAGCGCACTAGCGCAAGGCAATTAATGCAGAGCTCGAGTCAATGCGACTTCGCGTGTGTTTCGTGCTGCCAAGTTACCCAACGGGTGAAGCGCCATTGGCACAAAGTGAGTCTTCAAGATCAAGCGCAAGGCGGATGGGTCGATCGATAAATACAAAGCACGACTTGCGGCCAAGGGTTTTCGCCAAAATTATGACATCGACTACACGGAGACGTTCTCGCCCGTGGTCAAGTACGTGATGCTGTGCATAGTAATCGCGAGCACCAAGTACTTCAAATGGTCACTGGACTAACTGGACATGGTGAAAGCCTTCTTGTACGGAAAGATGAAAAAAAGGTGTTCTGCGCGATCCCAGCAGGTGTCGACAGTGATGAAGACTTTGACTGCATCGAATTGGCGAAGGCGATCTACGGACTGAAACAAGCATTGCGGGTATGGAGCGAGACTTTGTATGACTTTGTTTGCTCGATTGTATTTCAACAGTCCGACTTCGACCCATGCCTCTATCTCAAGGTCGCAAGCGGAAAGTGCGTGCTGTTTTTGGTCTCGTCGATGATGTGCTGGCAACGGGCAGTTCGACTGAGGTAATTGTGCGCACCGAGAGTGACTTGAAAAGGCGTTTCGATATGACTGACAGCGGCAAGTGCGCGTTCGTATTGGGCATCGAGCTGGTGAACAACATCGACGGTAGTGTGACAATGTGTCAGCGACGATACGTGGACGATGTTCTCAAGCGTTTTGGCATGAGTGATTGCAAGGCCGTCATCAGTCCAACGGATATCAGTTCTCGACTCACACCAAGCGACGCAGCATCCAAGAACAACGCTCCGTCTCGTGAAGCAGTAGGTGCTTTGATGCACTTAATGACCGCGAAAAGACCGGACATTGCTTTTGTTGTGGGCTACGTTTCGCGTTCCATGGAGAACCCCAAGTCGAGCATTGGATGGCAGTCAAGCGCATTCTTCGTTATCTACAAGAAACCAAGTCACACGGCATCTTCGTTAAACCCGACAACAAGGTGGATTTATGTGGCGACTCGGATGCAGACTAGCCCAGTGATCATGAAGACCGCAAGTCGACTTCAGAATGTGCGTCTATCCTGATGGGTGCTCCGATAAGCTGGAAAAGCAAGAAGCAATCAAGCGTATCGCTATCGACAAGCGAAGCAGAGTACGTCGCGCTAAGTCTGGCAATTAAAGAAGGCAAGTGGGTGCATCGCCTGTTATGCGAGATTCTGAATGCCGCAGAGGACAAGCCCAGACCCGAGCTCAAGATCATGGAAGACAATCAATCGTGCATCAAGATGACGAAGAATCCTGTGAACCATGGTCGGGCCAATCACGTCAACACCAAGTACCACCACAGTCGCGATGAAGTCAAGCGTGGTGATGACAAGTCGGAGTACTGTGAGACTGCGATGATGATGGCGGACATCATGACAAAGGGACTGCCAGGACCGCGTCACAGGGAATTGACGGCAGCGCTTGGCATGCACGCGTGTTCGCATTGAGGGGGCGTATCGTGGGTCGACGGTTAAGGTACTATTATCAGATACCGTGGAAACCGTAAACCTGTCCAAGTCGGTCTCGCGTAATTACGGTGAGCGCTTACCAATGATTAGACGCATAGGAAGATTGGATGACCTACATGTTCTATGATTTATGATTTAAATGTGCAAAATACATGAATCAGGACATGGATCAATCAGGTAGCTTAAACAACCCAGAAATAAATTCACTTCCAAAGATTTCCTTCTCCGTCGTAAGTCGTCTACACTTTGCAGTGCAGACTTCTTTCGTTTCTTCAAGCTTCGGTTCTCTCATCAAGTTCTCTTCAGACTTTAACAGGTTATAAGCCTAAGCGCGATGTCCTCTGCTCAAGATTCCGCCACCAAGATCTGCATCGACAAATTCGATGGTAAAAAATATGCGACGTGGAGCCGCTACATGCGCGGCGTGTTCCTGACCAAGTCGACGTGGTACGTAGTCATCCGGGGAGACCACCCCCCGCCTTCGCTGATCCTCGCGCTAGTGACGAGTATGTCAAGACGAACTACATTGCGATCGGCTTGATGCTGCCTCAGATGAGCGCGGATTACCATGATGTGGTTGATGAGTGTAAAGAAGCGTGGGTTGCGTGGGCACGGTTGAAGACTCTCTACGGCGGATCTCAGAAGGTGGGATGCATCTACTTGAAGCGCCAGCTGTTCAGCATGGAGATGGAGGAAGGCGGCAATGTCATGCATCATTGCAACAACGTTCTCAACATCAGCGCTAAGTTCAGCAGCATCGGCGCTAAGATGGAGGACAAAGACGTGGCGATCCGCTTGTTGCGCAGTCTCCCCAAGAGCTATGAGAACGTTGCGTTGTAACTTGAGCGCGAGGCGAAGAGAAAACGAAGCGGAGAGACCGGAGAGAACGAAGCAGAGAACACTTGCTCACTTGAGGGGAGGATTCGAAAGTGATTGATTTATAGGTCTTAACTTCTGCCTACCCTAGACTGCATCCAATCACATGGTGCATCTAATCAACCTGATTTACACGCGTCCAATCATCCTACGCGTCTAATCATCTCTGAGGTAATTACCGATGTAAAAACTATCTCGTAAGAACTACGCGCTAGGTTCGGATTGTACCGGTAACCCTCAATACGTTGTTCTCAACTTGGAGATGAGCAGCGCAGAACTGCGGTCGCAAGACGTCGTGAGAGTGCTTACGAATGAGCACATCAAGAGACAACAAAACAAGACGACATTGGTGAAGACTGAAGAAGCGACCAAGGCCTTCAGCACGAGCGTGAATTCCGTCAATGTACGTTCTGCGGAAGATTGGGGCACATGGTGATAAAGTGCTGGACCAAACAGAGGGAAGACGACCGAGGAGATCGACGCAGCGGCAACAAGGGCCGTGCCACTGGGCTCGTGGACGCGGAGCAAATCAAGTCCAATGGCACGGCTACAACGGCAACGCCAACAACTAATACCATGATCGAGTGGCGTTTGCTGTTTCGCTGGAATGCGAGCTTTCGACAGCCAAGACCATGGTGGAAATGTGGGCGATTTACAGCAGCAACGCACCACATCTTCAATGAAAAGTCCAAGTTTGAAGTTCTGGACGAGCGCAATGAAGGTGATGTGCTGGTTGCAGACGGAAACAAGGCTGCGATCAATAGAGTTGGGACTATCGTCGAAAAGGTGGTCCTACCAAACGGTGAAGAGCGCGAAGTTGAAATCGAGGATGCACTTAATGTCTCAAGCATGAACAAGAACCTACTGTCGATACCCCAGATTAACAAAAGCGGCAAGTTCCAAGTGGTGTTTGATAAAAGTGAGATAAAGAGTTTGCACAAAGACTCCAAGCAAGTGGTGGCGATGGCGGATATTATGAATGGACCCTACTGGCTTCGCACATCACAACGATCTGTGATTGCTACTTCGCGGCTGAAATTTGAAGATATCTATGCGCGAATGGGCCATGCTTCAGTCGACGTACTTCGCAAGATGGTGACAAGCAACATGATTAAAGACGCTTACATCCCTTTCAAACCGAATGGACCAAGTGTGTGTCGAGGATGTCAGGAAGGGAAGATGGTTCAAAACCATTCTCGAGAAACCGTGACAAGCGCACCTTCAATACCTTCGAGATGCTCCACTTCGACACCTGAGGACCCATGGAAGACAAATCTTTAAGAAGCAGTGTTGTTAGGTGTGAAGCTTGACGACCGAAACTGGGAGTGATGCTGGGAGTCCACTCGGAAGACCGGAGAAGACACTTGGGGGTGATGAACTTTAGACTTCTTGGTCCGAGTGCAAAACGCAAAGTGAATATATATTTATAATAGGTACTTAGTTCGCAACTTTGAATACTACCTCTAAGCCTATTATTCGCAGTGACGTCATCCAGTGACGTCATTTCCTGACTTCGCCCTTACTGGTACATACCGGTACCCACCGGTATAGCGAGGCTTGGTCTTCCACTTGCTTCAACACTTGACGCAGCTTGACGAGGTGTCTTCTTCACATCCGCTGTCTTTTCAACACTCCCTCTCGACTCGTTAGCTGCGGCACCTTGGATCCCAAGTCGATCGCGAATGTTTTCAAATTGTACAGCGGCGATCGGCTTGGTCATCATGTCTGCCAGCATATCTTGAGTCGGGCAATACTCCAAAACGACTTCACCTGATTCCACCTTCTCACGCACAAAATGGTAGCGTATGTCGATGTGTTTTGTTCTCTTATGGAACTCCGGGTTCTTGGCGAGAGCGATTGATCCTTGGTTGTCTTCATACATCTTGATCGCTTCGTCGCTTGTCATCTCACCAAGTTCCCCCAAAAGCACTTTGAGCCATACTGCTTCTTTGGTTGCTTCGGAAAGCGCCATGTATTCTGCTTCTGTTGAAGATAGCGCGACCGTCCGTTGTTTCTGGCTTTTCCAGCTGATGCATCCTCCGCTCATCATGAACACATAGCCGCTTGTACTTCGTCTTGACTCAATGTCGCCGGCCCAGTCTGCGTCGGTGTACCCGCAGATACGGCTTCCTTCTTCACGTGTAAACTCAAGACCATGATTGGGCGTTGCTTGCAGGTATCTCAGCACACGCTTCAAAGCTTGCCAGTGAGTCGGGCATGGGTCGGACGAGAACTGGGATAATGATCCCACTGCAGCAGCTAGATCCGGACGTGTGGCGACCATGAGATACATGATGCCTCCGACAGCACTTCGATATGGCACGTTGCACATGGTGTCTTCGTGCTTGCATTCTTGTTCACACATGTTCTTGGTTAGCTTCAGGCCGGGATCTTGAGGCGTCTTCACTGGCTTGCTGTTATCCATTCCGAACTTGGTTAACACGGACTTGAGGAACTTGGTTTGTTGTACAGTCACCATTCCCGTCTTACGGTCGTTCTTGATCTCCATGCCGAGAAAGTAATCGAGCTCACCGAGATCCGTCATTTCGAAGCGTTTGCTCAGCGCCATCTTGGTTGACTTGAGGAGTTCGTTGTTGCTGCTGGCCAGGATGAGATCATCGACGTAGAGTACCACGAGAATCATGTCTTGGTCGTCTCGCTTGATGTAGATGCAGTGGTCCGATTCGCACTTCTTGAATCCCATCTTGATCATGAACCCATCGATTGTTTGGTTCCACATGCGAGGCGATTGCTTCAAGCCGTAGAGTGATCTCTTTAGCTTGCACACATAGTCCGGCTGTGTTGCATCCAGGTATCCGTCCGGCTGGTCCATGTAGATGTCTTCGTTGAGGGAGCCGTTAAGAAACGCTGTCTTGACGTCCATCTGATGTAGCATTAGGCCGTACTTAGCCGCCATACTGAGCACCACACGAATCGATGTGAACTTGGCCACCGGTGCGAAAGTTTCTTCATAGTCAACTCCGAATTTCTGTGAGAATCCTTTGGCCACAAGTCTTGCCTTGAAACGCTCAACTTCGCCATCTTGATTCTCCTTTACACGAAAAACCCATCGGCACCCGATGGCCTTGCGACCTTTCGGAAGAGGCACGATTTCCCACGTGTCGTTTCTCTGAAGCGAGTCGAACTCCGAGTCACACGCTTCTTTCCACTTGCCGGAGTCGCTTGATTCCATCGCCGACTTGAATGTAGTCGGCGTTTCCCCCACTGAATCAACGATGTAGGCTGCTTCAAAATCCATTGCAGCCGCTGACACATGCTCAAGCGACGGACCTCTGTATGTTCTTCGCTTGGGACTTGGAATGACGGTAGCTTTCTCAAGTGATTGAGTGCGCGTGTGTCTCTTGATGTTGCTCTTCGAAGACCTGGTGTCTTCGTTGTCATCGTCGCTCGAGTCCATGTCGTCGTCAGTTTTACCTTCTTCTTTTTCTTCGTCCTCATCATGATCATCAAACTCAACGACACTTGACTCATCGTTGTAGTTGCGCGGACCTTCATCAAACTTGTCTTCCATGAATGTGGCATCGCGACTGATCTTGATCGCTCCTGTTGACACTTCCTCAAATCGATATGACTTCTGGTGTTCGGCGTATCCCAGGAAACGACAGAGTGATGACTTGGAGTCGAACTTCGCGCGTTTGTCTTGAGGCACTTGAACATACGCGTGGCATCCAAACACTTTAAGGTTGGCCAGAATCGGTTTCTTCATCGTCCACACTTGATATGGAGACTTGTCTTGGTGAATGGCACGTGTTGGACAGCGGTTTCTGTTGAAAAGACAGCGGCTGTGAAGAAGACACCTCGTCAAGCTGCGTCAAGTGTTGAAGCAAGTGGAAGACCAAGCTTCGCTATACCGGTGGGTACCGGTATGTACCAGTAAGGGCGAAGTCAGGAAATGACGTCACTGGATGACGTGATTGCATGACGTCAGTGGGTGACGTCACTGGATGACGTCACTGCGAATAATAGGCTTAGAGGTAGTATTCAAAGTTGCGAGCTAAGTACCTATTATAAATATATATTCACTTTGCGTTTTGCACTCGGACCAAGAAGTCTAAAGTTCATCAGGTTATGAGCCCAAGTTCGTCAGACTCTGAAACCGCCAACAATTCAAGCTTAGCTGCCATGGACGCCTCCTCCCTCCGCATCTCCAAGTTCGATGGAACTAACTTCCACGCCTGGAAGTTCAAGATACAGATGGTGCTGGAGGAACGGGACCTATGGGAGGTCGTCAGCGGTGAGATCAAGGCGGAACAGTGCGAGACTCAGTTGGACCAAGCGACGTACAAGAGGAAGTCAAGAAAGGCGATGGCAGTGATCTGTCTAGCCATGGAAGATTCCCAGCTACCGTTGGTCCGGTCGGCAAGTGGTGCATGCGACGCATGGTCAAGGTTGGAAGACCACTTCGAGAAGAAGAGTCTTGCCAACAAGCTGTTCTTGCGCCGTCGCTTCTTCACGACAATGATGGAAGAAGGCGACGATGTGCTCGAACACATCAACAAGCTCAAGACGCTGGCGGAACAGCTAGAAGAGGTGGGGGCTCCAGTCTGCGAGGACGATCTGGTGATCACACTCCTCGGCAGCCTGAGTGACTCGTATCAATTCTTGATCACAGCTTTGGAGTCGCGCTCAGACACTCTTAGCTGGGAGCTCGTGACGTCTCGACTGCTTCATGAAGAAATGAAGCGGAAGGAGCAAGGAAGTAAAGGTGATGAAGCTTCGCAAGGTCAAGCGTTCATCACAAGGGACAATCAGCGCAAAGGGCGACCAGTGAAGAAGTCCTGGCCGTGCCACAATTGCGGAAAGATTGGTCACTGGATGGCGGAGTGCCCCTCGCGCATCCAAGAAAACACGGAGAGACACCGGCCACAGCGTGCTCAAGACAGCGGCGACCGCTATCGATCACAACGTGCAAACGTCGCTCAAGAAGAAGACTCGGGCGACTACCTCTTTTCGATCGGTGAAACGACATCTGCGAAATCGAGCGACATCTGGCTGGTCGACTCCGGGGCGACGCAGCACATGACGTGCTCCAAGAAGTTCATGCGGAACTACAAGGGGTTTGACGCTGTGGATGTCCATCTCGCGGATGATGGAATCGTCCAAGCAATCGGCAGTGGGGACATTGTCATGTCGATGAAGACACCCCAAGGGATGAAGAAAGGTGTGCTCACAAACGTGTGGCACATCCCAAAGTTATCCAGAAACCTGTTCTCGGTCGGCCGCTTCACCAAGGATGTCGGCCCAGTGACGTTCACGAAGGATGGGTGCTATGGAGAAGCGAAAGGGACCAAGTGGAAAATTGGTGCCCGTGAAGGTAAAGGACTGTTCAAGCTGCAAATGACTCCAGTGGCGCCGGAACAAGCAAATGCAGCCAAGTCGTCGGGATGTCAAGGGGGCACCAAGTCGTACCTCTGGCACCTTCGGCTTGGCCACATAGGTCACGATGGACTCAATTGCATCGTGACGAAGAACATTGGAATTGGCATCGACATATCTTCGGTGAAGAAGTGGGACGTGTGTGAAGGTTGTGCTCTGGGAAAACAGACTCGAGTGCGCTTCCAATCAAACACTACAGCTCGCACCTCCAAACTCCTCGAAGTGATTCACAGCGACGTATGCGGACCGATGTCGATGGCAACTTTCAGTGGAAAACGGTACTTCGTGACATTCATTGATGACAAGTCAAGATACTGTGTCGTCTATCTGCTCAAGAGCAAATCTGAAGTTGCGGCGAAGTTCATGGAATACGCTGCGATGGCCGAAACGCAAACCGGAAAGCGCGTGAAGTACCTTCAAAGCGACAATGGGGGTGAATACAAGTCCGACAAGCTGGCACGATTCTGCGCGGAACGGGGAATACAACAAAGGTTCACACCCCCATATACTCCTCAGCTAAACGGAGTAGCTGAGAGAATGAATCGCACGCTGGTCGAGTGTGCGCGTTGCATGATGGAACACGCTGGACTGGGAAAGAGCTACTGGGGTGAAGCAGTGATGACGGCGATGTTTCTTCGAAACCGCTGTCCAACACGTGCCATTCACCAAGACAAGTCTCCATATCAAGTGTGGACGATGAATAAACCGATTCTGGCCAACCTTAAAGTGTTTGGATGCCACGCGTATGTTCAAGTGCCTCAAGACAAACGCGCGAAGTTCGACTCCAAGTCATCACTCTGTCGTTTCCTGGGATACGCCGAACACCAGAAGTCATATCGATTTGAGGAAGTGTCAACAGGAGCGATCAAGATCAGTCGCGATGCCACATTCATGGAAGACAAGTTTGATGAAGGTCCGCGCAACTACAACGATGAGTCAAGTGTCGTTGAGTTTGATGATCATGATGAGGACGAAGAAAAAGAAGAAGGTAAAACTGACGACGACATGGACTCGAGCGACGATGACAACGAAGACACCAGGTCTTCGAAGAGCAACATCAAGAGACACACGCGCACTCAATCACTTGAGAAAGCTACCGTCATTCCAAGTCCCAAGCGAAGAACATACAGAGGTCCGTCGCTTGAGCATGTGTCAGCGGCTGCAATGGATTTTGAAGCAGCCTACATCGTTGATTCAGTGGGGGAAACGCCTGATGAACTTTAGACTTCTTGGTCCGAGTGCAAAACGCAAAGTGAATATATATTTATAATAGGTACTTAGTTCGCAACTTTGAATACTACCTCTAAGCCTATTATTCGCAGTGACGTCATCCAGTGACGTCACCCACTGACGTCACCCACTGACGTCATGCAATGACGTCATCCAGTGACGTCATTTCCTGACTTCGCCCTTACTGGTACATACCGGTACCCACCGGTATAGCGAAGCTTGGTCTTCCACTTGCTTCAACACTTGACGCAGCTTGACGAGGTGTCTTCTTCACAGCCGCTGTCTTTTCAACACTCCCTCTCGACTCGTTAGCTGCGGCACCTTGGATCCCAAGTCGATCGCGAATGTTTTCAAATTGTACAGCGGCGATCGGCTTGGTCATCATGTCTGCCAGCATATCTTGAGTCGGGCAATACTCCAAAACGACTTCACCTGATTCCACCTTCTCACGCACAAAATGGTAGCGTATGTCGATGTGTTTTGTTCTCTTATGGAACTCCGGGTTCTTGGCGAGAGCGATTGATCCTTGGTTGTCTTCATACATCTTGATCGCTTCGTCGCTTGTCATCTCACCAAGTTCCCCCAAAAGCACTTTGAGCCATACTGCTTCTTTGGTTGCTTCGGAAAGCGCCATGTATTCTGCTTCTGTTGAAGATAGCGCGACCGTCCGTTGTTTCTGGCTTTTCCAGCTGATGCATCCTCCGCTCATCATGAACACATAGCCGCTTGTACTTCGTCTTGACTCAATGTCGCCGGCCCAGTCTGCGTCGGTGTACCCGCAGATACGGCTTCCTTCTTCACGTGTAAACTCAAGACCATGATTGGGCGTTGCTTGCAGGTATCTCAGCACACGCTTCAAAGCTTGCCAGTGAGTCGGGCATGGGTCGGACGAGAACTGGGATAATGATCCCACTGCAGCAGCTAGATCCGGACGTGTGGCGACCATGAGATACATGATGCCTCCGACAGCACTTCGATATGGCACGTTGCACATGGTGTCTTCGTGCTTGCATTCTTGTTCACACATGTTCTTGGTTAGCTTCAGGCCGGGATCTTGAGGCGTCTTCACTGGCTTGCTGTTATCCATTCCGGAACTTGGTTAACACGGACTTGAGAAACTTGGTTTGTTGCACAGTCACCATTCCCGTCTTACGGTCGTTCTTGATCTCCATGCCGAGAAAGTAATCGAGCTCACCGAGATCCGTCATTTCGAAGCGTTTGCTCAGCGCCATCTTGGTCGACTTGAGGAGTTCGTTGTTGCTGCTGGCCAGGATGAGATCATCGACGTAGAGCACCACGAGAATCATGTCTTGGTCGTCTCGCTTGATGTAGATGCAGTGGTCCGATTCGCACTTCTTGAATCCCATCTTGATCATGAACCCATCGATTGTTTGGTTCCACATGCGAGGCGATTGCTTCAAGCCGTAGAGTGATCTCTTTAGCTTGCACACATAGTCCGGCTGTGTTGCATCCAGGTATCCGTCCGGCTGGTCCATGTAGATGTCTTCGTTGAGGGAGCCGTTAAGAAACGCTGTCTTGACATCCATCTGATGTAGCATTAGGCCGTACTTAGCCGCCATACTGAGCACCACACGAATCGATGTGAACTTGGCCACTGGTGCAAAAGTTTCTTCATAGTCAACTCCGAATTTCTGTGAGAATCCTTTGGCCACAAGTCTTGCCTTGAAACGTTCAACTTCGCCATCTTGATTCTCCTTTACACGAAAAACCCATCGGCACCCGATGGCCTTGCGACCTTTCGGAAGAGGCACGATTTCCCACGTGTCGTTTCTCTGAAGCGAATCGAACTCCAAGTCACACGCTTCTTTCCACTTGCCGGAGTCGCTTGATTCCATAGCCGACTTGAACGTAGTCGGCATTTCCCCCACTGAATCCATGATGTACGCTGCTTCAAAATCCATTGCAGCCGCTGACACATGCTCAAGCGACGGACCTCTGTATGTTCTTCGCTTGGGACTTGGAATGACGGTAGCTTTCTCAAGTGATTGAGTGCGCGTGTGTCTCTTGATGTTGCTCTTCGAAGACCTGGTGTCTTCGTTGTCATCGTCGCTCGAGTCCATGTCGTCGTCAGTTTTACCTTCTTCTTTTTTCTTCGTCCTCATCATGATCATCAAACTCAACGACACTTGACTCATCGTTGTAGTTGCGCGGACCTTCATCAAACTTGTCTTCCATGAATGTGGCATCGCGACTGATCTTGATCGCTCCTGTTGACACTTCCTCAAATCGATATGACTTCTGGTGTTCGGCGTATCCCAGGAAACGACAGAGTGATGACTTGGAGTCGAACTTCGCGCGTTTGTCTTGAGGCACTTGAACATACGCGTGGCATCCAAACACTTTAAGGTTGGCCAGAATTGGTTTCTTCATCGTCCACACTTGATATGGAGACTTGTCTTGGTGAATGGCACGTGTTGGACAGCGGTTTCGAAGAAACATCGCCGTCATCACTGCTTCACCCCAGTAGCTCTTTCCCAGTCCAGCGTGTTCCATCATGCAACGCGCACACTCGACCAGCGTGCGATTCATTCTCTCAGCTACTCCGTTTAGCTGAGGAGTATATGGGGGTCTGAACCTTTGTTGTATTCCCCGTTCCGCGCAGAATCGTGCCAGCTTGTCGGACTTGTATTCACCCCCATTGTCGCTTTGAAGGTGTTGACGGTCATCGGTTTCTACCAGTATTGGTAACCGTGACCGGTCCAATCCGAACCGCCTGTTCAGCTTAGTATTTACGACGTAGTTCTTACGGTAATTACCATAGTTGATTAGACGCGTAGGATGATGAGACGCTTCACATGATTTATATGTGCACCACATATAAATCATGTAGTAAGTAGTAAGCCCCGATAATCAATCACTTTCCAATCTTCCATCTACCCCAAGTGTCTTCTCCGGTCTTCCGAGTGGACTCTCAGCATCCCTCCCAGTTTCGGTCGTCAAGCTCTTCATCATTCAACAGGTTATGAGCCCAAGCACGATGTCCTCTGCCCATGATGCCACCACCAAGATCTCCATCGACAAGTTCGACGGCGACAACTACGCGACGTGGAGCCGCTACATGCGTGGCGTGTTCCTGACCAAGTCGGCGTGGCACGTGGTGAACCGGGAGACCACCCCCCACCTTCGCCGATCCTCGCGCCAGTGACGACTACGTCAAGACGAACAACATTGCGTTCGGCTTGATGCTGCTGCACATGAGCGCAGATTATCATCACGTGGTTGATGACTGTGAAGAGGCGTGGGTCGCGTGGGCGCGTTTGAAGACGCTGTACGGCGGGTCGCAGAAGGCTGGACGCATCTACTTGAAGCGCCAGCTGTTCAGCATGGAGATGGCGGAAGGCGGCAATGTGATGCATCATTGCAACGAAGTCCTCAACATCAGCGCGAAGCTCAGCAGCATCGGCGCCAAGATGGAGGACGAAGACATTGCGATCTGCTTGCTGCTCAGTCTCCCGAAGAGCTTCGAGAACGTCGTTCTCAACTTGGAGATGAGCAGCGCGGAACTGCGATCGCGAGACGTCGTGAGAGTGCTCACGAATGAGCACATCAAGAGGCAAGGTGACAAGACGACATCGGTGAAGACTGAAGACGCGGCCAAGGCGTTCAGTACCGAGCGTGAACCTCGCCAGTGTACATACTGCGGAAAATTGGGGCACACGGCGGAGCGGTGCTGGACCAAGCAGAAGGACGAGAATCAAGGTGGAGCTCGACGCGGCGGCAACAATGCTCGTGGACGCGGAGCCAACAACGTTCAGTGGCGAACCAACAGCAACTACGACGACAACTGCGATCGAGTTGCGTTCGCGGTTTCGCTGGAGGCCGGACTTTCGACGGGCAAGAATATGCCAGGGATGTGGGCAGTCGACAGCGGTGCGACGCATCACATCTGCAACGACAAGGCCAAGTTTGCAAGCCTGAATGAGCGAGAGGAAGGCGAACTATCAGTGGCTGATGGCAGCAAGGCTGCGATCAAGGGTGTGGGAACCATCATGGAACGGGTGGTTCTGCCCAATGGTGACGAACGCGACATCGAGATCAAGGACGCGCTGTTCGTACCAAGCATGAGCAAGAATCTGCTTTCGGTGCCACAGATCAACAAGGGTGGGAGGTTCCAAGTCGTGTTCGATGGATCCAAGATGCAAGTGAAGCGCAAGAATTCCACACAAGTCGTGGCAACAGCGGATCTCGTCGATGGACTTTACTGGCTGCGGACTCCTCAACGATCGGCGAATGCAGCAACACGCAATGGGACCATCGACTTGCATGCGCGCATGGGTCATGCACCTCTCGAAGTTCTGCGCAAGATGATGGCCACTGGCATGATCAAGGACGCCAAGGCACCTCTCAACTCGACTGGTCCAAGTGTGTGTCGCGGTTTTCAGCAAGGAAAGATGGTCCAAAAACCATTCCCAACCAACCGTGACAAACGCCAATATGGTATGTTCGAGTTGCTGCACTTCGACATCTGCGGGCCAATGGAACAAGTCTCGATCGGCGGCAGCAAATACTTACTGCTTGTGGTTGACGAAGCTAGCGGTTGCATGAAGGGCTTCTGTCTGCGGTCCAAGTCTGAGAGTGAAGACTGTATCAAGAACCACATCATCAAGATTCAAACACAGTTCGGCACGAAGATCAAGTTTGTTCGGCACGATGGAGCGCATGAATTTGCGACCAACTCGATCAAGACCTTCTACGAAGATCATGGTATCGAGCAACAGATCACGGTGCCGTATGCACACCAGACCAACGGCACCGCAGAACGCGCGATAAGGACCATCGTCACGATCGGACGCAGCTTGTTGCATCATGCAAAGCTGGAGAAGTGTTTCTGGGCTGAAGCGGCAATGACGGCGATCTACATCAAGAACCGCCTGCCTTCACCCAAGATCGACCACAAGACTCCGTTCGAGATCGTGTACAAGTCGAAACCAAGTGTCAAGCACATGCGCGTGTTTGGATGTCGGGCGTTTATCCTGACACCAAGGGAGAAGCGATTGAAGTGGGACCCGAAGGCTCGTGAAGGGATATTCATGGGCTACGAAGAAGTGTCAAAAGCTTATCGAGTGTACGACATTGAGGCGGACCAAGTGGTGATCAGTCGTGACATCACCTTCGACGAATCGACTTTTGACTTTTCGATGGACCGACCAAGTGACGATGATGAAGATGCGGAGTTGGATCTCGACCTCCTGGCGATCAACGAGGACGACGTGCGTCAAACTGTCTACAAGCAGACTGGCAAGCGCAAGAGTGAAGCAAGACCCGGCATGTCACGTTCAGCTCGCCCTCGAACTGGATTGGAACAAGCAAGTGCGCCGGCACACGTCTCCAACCGTCACCAGAAACGACGATCAAGTGCTCCAGAAACGATGTCTGATGACGAAGAAGATGCAAGCGTCTACGATCAAGATGACGACTTGACGCCTCCAACATTTTGGCGTGCAAGTGCAAACGCAGTGGAAGCAACGGACCTAGCAGAACCTGTGACTTTTCAAGACGCGATCAATGGTCCTGATCAAGCTCACTGGCGAAATGCTGTGAAGGCGGAACTCAAGTCGATGCATCTTCGTGGAGTTTTCCGTGCGGCATGTTGAAAAGACAGCGGCTGTGAAGAAGACACCTCGTCAAGCTGCGTCAAGTGTTGAAGCAAGTGGAAGACCAAGCTTCGCTATACCGGTGGGTACCGGTATGTACCAGTAAGGGCGAAGTCAGGAAATGACGTCACTGGATGACGTCATTGCATGACGTCACTGGATGACGTCACTGCGAATAATAGGCTTAGAGGTAGTATTCAAAGTTGCGAACTAAGTACCTATTATAAATATATATTCACTTTGCGTTTTGCACTCGGACCAAGAAGTCTAAAGTTCATCAGGTTATGAGCCCAAGTTCGTCAGACTCTGAAACCGCCAACAATTCAAGCTTAGCTGCCATGGACGCCTCCTCCCTCCGCATCTCCAAGTTCGATGGAACTAACTTCCACGCCTGGAAGTTCAAGATGCAGATGGTGCTGGAGGAACGGGACCTATGGGAGGTCGTCAGCGGTGAGATCAAGGCGGAACAGTGCGAGACTCAGTTGGACCAAGCGACGTACAAGAGGAAGTCAAGAAAGGCGATGGCAGTGATCTGTCTAGCCATGGAAGATTCCCAGCTACCGTTGGTCCGGTCGGCAAGTGGTGCATGCGACGCATGGTCAAGGTTGGAAGACCACTTCGAGAAGAAGAGTCTTGCCAACAAGCTGTTCTTGCGCCGTCGCTTCTTCACGACAATGATGGAAGAAGGCGACGATGTGCTCGAACACATCAACAAGCTCAAGACGCTGGCGGAACAGCTAGAAGCGGTGGGGGCTCCAGTCTGCGAGGACGATCTGGTGATCACACTCCTCGGCAGCCTGAGTGACTCGTATCAATTCTTGATCACAGCTTTGGAGTCGCGCTCAGACACTCTTAGCTGGGAGCTCGTGACGTCTCGACTGCTTCATGAAGAAATGAAGCGGAAGGAGCAAGGAAGTAAAGGTGATGAAGCTTCGCAAGGTCAAGCGTTCATCACAAGGGACAATCAGCGCAAAGGGCGACCAGTGAAGAAGTCCTGGCCGTGCCACAATTGCGGAAAGATTGGTCACTGGATGGCGGAGTGCCCCTCGCGCATCCAAGAAAACACGGAGAGACACCGGCCACAGCGTGCTCAAGACAGCGGCGACCGCTATCGATCACAACGTGCAAACGTCGCTCAAGAAGAAGACTCGGGCGACTACCTCTTTTCGATCGGTGAAACGACATCTGCGAAATCGAGCGACATCTGGCTGGTCGACTCCGGGGCGACGCAGCACATGACGTGCTCCAAGAAGTTCATGCGGAACTACAAGGGGTTTGACGCTGTGGATGTCCATCTCGCGGATGATGGAATCGTCCAAGCAATCGGCAGTGGGGACATTGTCATGTCGATGAAGACACCCCAAGGGATGAAGAAAGGTGTGCTCACAAACGTGTGGCACATCCCAAAGTTATCCAGAAACCTGTTCTCGGTCGGCCGCTTCACCAAGGATGTCGGCCCAGTGACGTTCACGAAGGATGGGTGCTATGGAGAAGCGAAAGGGACCAAGTGGAAAATTGGTGCCCGTGAAGGTAAAGGACTGTTCAAGCTGCAAATGACTCCAGTGGCGCCGGAACAAGCAAATGCAGCCAAGTCGTCGGGATGTCAAGGGGGCACCAAGTCGTACCTCTGGCACCTTCGGCTTGGCCACATAGGTCACGATGGACTCAATTGCATCGTGACGAAGAACATTGGAATTGGCATCGACATATCTTCGGTGAAGAAGTGGGACGTGTGTGAAGGTTGTGCTCTGGGAAAACAGACTCGAGTGCGCTTCCAATCAAACACTACAGCTCGCACCTCCAAACTCCTCGAAGTGATTCACAGCGACGTATGCGGACCGATGTCGATGGCAACTTTCAGTGGAAAACGGTACTTCGTGACATTCATCGATGACAAGTCAAGATACTGTGTCGTCTATCTGCTCAAGAGCAAATCTGAAGTTGCGGCGAAGTTCATGGAATACGCTGCGATGGCCGAAACGCAAACCGGAAAGCGCGTGAAGTACCTTCAAAGCGACAATGGGGGTGAATACAAGTCCGACAAGCTGGCACGATTCTGCGCGGAACGGGGAATACAACAAAGGTTCACACCCCCATATACTCCTCAGCTAAACGGAGTAGCTGAGAGAATGAATCGCACGCTGGTCGAGTGTGCGCGTTGCATGATGGAACACGCTGGACTGGGAAAGAGCTACTGGGGTGAAGCAGTGATGACGGCGATGTTTCTTCGAAACCGCTGTCCAACACGTGCCATTCACCAAGACAAGTCTCCATATCAAGTGTGGACGATGAAGAAACCGATTCTGGCCAACCTTAAAGTGTTTGGATGCCACGCGTATGTTCAAGTGCCTCAAGACAAACGCGCGAAGTTCGACTCCAAGTCATCACTCTGTCGTTTCCTGGGATACGCCGAACACCAGAAGTCATATCGATTTGAGGAAGTGTCAACAGGAGCGATCAAGATCAGTCGCGATGCCACATTCATGGAAGACAAGTTTGATGAAGGTACGCGCAACTACAACGATGAGTCAAGTGTCGTTGAGTTTGATGATCATGATGAGGACGAAGAAAAAGAAGAAGGTAAAACTGACGACGACATGGACTCGAGCGACGATGACAACGAAGACACCAGGTCTTCGAAGAGCAACATCAAGAGACACACGCGCACTCAATCACTTGAGAAAGCTACCGTCATTCCAAGTCCCAAGCGAAGAACATACAGAGGTCCGTCGCTTGAGCATGTGTCAGCGGCTGCAATGGATTTTGAAGCAGCCTACATCGTTGATTCAGTGGGGGAAACGCCGGGGGGTGATGAACTTTAGACTTCTTGGTCCGAGTGCAAAACGCAAAGTGAATATATATTTATAATAGGTACTTAGTTCGCAACTTTGAATACTACCTCTAAGCCTATTATTCGCAGTGACGTCATCCAGTGACGTCACCCACTGACGTCACCCACTGACGTCATGCAATGACGTCATCCAGTGACGTCATTTCCTGACTTCGCCCTTACTGGTACATACCGGTACCCACCGGTATAGCGAAGCTTGGTCTTCCACTTGCTTCAACACTTGACGCAGCTTGACGAGGTGTCTTCTTCACAGCCGCTGTCTTTTCAACACTCCCTCTCGACTCGTTAGCTGCGGCACCTTGGATCCCAAGTCGATCGCGAATGTTTTCAAATTGTACAGCGGCGATCGGCTTGGTCATCATGTCTGCCAGCATATCTTGAGTCGGGCAATACTCCAAAACGACTTCACCTGATTCCACCTTCTCACGCACAAAATGGTAGCGTATGTCGATGTGTTTTGTTCTCTTATGGAACTCCGGGTTCTTGGCGAGAGCGATTGATCCTTGGTTGTCTTCATACATCTTGATCGCTTCGTCGCTTGTCATCTCACCAAGTTCCCCCAAAAGCACTTTGAGCCATACTGCTTCTTTGGTTGCTTCGGAAAGCGCCATGTATTCTGCTTCTGTTGAAGATAGCGCGACCGTCCGTTGTTTCTGGCTTTTCCAGCTGATGCATCCTCCGCTCATCATGAACACATAGCCGCTTGTACTTCGTCTTGACTCAATGTCGCCGGCCCAGTCTGCGTCGGTGTACCCGCAGATACGGCTTCCTTCTTCACGTGTAAACTCAAGACCATGATTGGGCGTTGCTTGCAGGTATCTCAGCACACGCTTCAAAGCTTGCCAGTGAGTCGGGCATGGGTCGGACGAGAACTGGGATAATGATCCCACTGCAGCAGCTAGATCCGGACGTGTGGCGACCATGAGATACATGATGCCTCCGACAGCACTTCGATATGGCACGTTGCACATGGTGTCTTCGTGCTTGCATTCTTGTTCACACATGTTCTTGGTTAGCTTCAGGCCGGGATCTTGAGGCGTCTTCACTGGCTTGCTGTTATCCATTCCGAACTTGGTTAACACGGACTTGAGAAACTTGGTTTGTTGTACAGTCACCATTCCCGTCTTACGGTCGTTCTTGATCTCCATGCCGAGAAAGTAATCGAGCTCACCGAGATCCGTCATTTCGAAGCGTTTGCTCAGCGCCATCTTGGTTGACTTGAGGAGTTCGTTGTTGCTGCTGGCCAGGATGAGATCATCGACGTAGAGCACCACGAGAATCATGTCTTGGTCGTCTCGCTTGATGTAGATGCAGTGGTCCGATTCGCACTTCTTGAATCCCATCTTGATCATGAACCCATCGATTGTTTGGTTCCACATGCGAGGCGATTGCTTCAAGCCGTAGAGTGATCTCTTTAGCTTGCACACATAGTCCGGCTGTGTTGCATCCAGGTATCCGTCCGGCTGGTCCATGTAGATGTCTTCGTTGAGGGAGCCGTTAAGAAACGCTGTCTTGACGTCCATCTGATGTAGCATTAGGCCGTACTTAGCCGCCATACTGAGCACCACACGAATCGATGTGAACTTGGCCACCGGTGCGAAAGTTTCTTCATAGTCAACTCCGAATTTCTGTGAGAATCCTTTGGCCACAAGTCTTGCCTTGAAACGCTCAACTTCGCCATCTTGATTCTCCTTTACACGAAAAACCCATCGGCACCCGATGGCCTTGCGACCTTTCGGAAGAGGCACGATTTCCCACGTGTCGTTTCTCTGAAGCGAATCGAACTCCGAGTCACACGCTTCTTTCCACTTGCCGGAGTCGCTTGATTCCATCGCCGACTTGAATGTAGTCGGCGTTTCCCCACTGAATCAACGATGTAGGCTGCTTCAAAATCCATTGCAGCCGCTGACACATGCTCAAGCGACGGACCTCTGTATGTTCTTCGCTTGGGACTTGGAATGACGGTAGCTTTCTCAAGTGATTGAGTGCGCGTGTGTCTCTTGATGTTGCTCTTCGAAGACCTGGTGTCTTCGTTGTCATCGTCGCTCGAGTCCATGTCGTCGTCAGTTTTACCTTCTTCTTTTTCTTCGTCCTCATCATGATCATCAAACTCAACGACACTTGACTCATCGTTGTAGTTGCGCGGACCTTCATCAAACTTGTCTTCCATGAATGTGGCATCGCGACTGATCTTGATCGCTCCTGTTGACACTTCCTCAAATCGATATGACTTCTGGTGTTCGGCGTATCCCAGGAAACGACAGAGTGATGACTTGGAGTCGAACTTCGCGCGTTTGTCTTGAGGCACTTGAACATACGCGTGGCATCCAAACACTTTAAGGTTGGCCAGAATCGGTTTCTTCATCGTCCACACTTGATATGGAGACTTGTCTTGGTGAATGGCACGTGTTGGACAGCGGTTTCGAAGAAACATCGCCGTCATCACTGCTTCACCCCAGTAGCTCTTTCCCAGTCCAGCGTGTTCCATCATGCAACGCGCACACTCGACCAGCGTGCGATTCATTCTCTCAGCTACTCCGTTTAGCTGAGGAGTATATGGGGGTGTGAACCTTTGTTGTATTCCCCGTTCCGCGCAGAATCGTGCCAGCTTGTCGGACTTGTATTCACCCCCATTGTCGCTTTGAAGGTACTTCACGCGCTTTCCGGTTTGCGTTTCGGCCATCGCAGCGTATTCCATGAACTTCGCCGCAACTTCAGATTTGCTCTTGAGCAGATAGACGACACAGTATCTTGACTTGTCATCAATGAATGTCACGAAGTACCGTTTTCCACTGAAAGTTGCCATCGACATCGGTCCGCATACGTCGCTGTGAATCACTTCGAGGAGTTTGGAGGTGCGAGCTGTAGTGTTTGATTGGAAGCGCACTCGAGTCTGTTTTCCCAGAGCACAACCTTCACACACGTCCCACTTCTTCACCGAAGATATGTCGATGCCAATTCCAATGTTCTTCGTCACGATGCAATTGAGTCCATCGTGACCTATGTGGCCAAGCCGAAGGTGCCAGAGGTACGACTTGGTGCCCCCTTGACATCCCGACGACTTGGCTGCATTTGCTTGTTCCGGCGCCACTGGAGTCATTTGCAGCTTGAACAGTCCTTTACCTTCACGGGCACCAATTTTCCACTTGGTCCCTTTCGCTTCTCCATAGCACCCATCCTTCGTGAACGTCACTGGGCCGACATCCTTGGTGAAGCGGCCGACCGAGAACAGGTTTCTGGATAACTTTGGGATGTGCCACACGTTTGTGAGCACACCTTTCTTCATCCCTTGGGGTGTCTTCATCGACATGACAATGTCCCCACTGCCGATTGCTTGGACGATTCCATCATCCGCGAGATGGACATCCACAGCGTCAAACCCCTTGTAGTTCCGCATGAACTTCTTGGAGCACGTCATGTGCTGCGTCGCCCCGGAGTCGACCAGCCAGATGTCGCTCGATTTCGCAGATGTCGTTTCACCGATCGAAAAGAGGTAGTCGCCCGAGTCTTCTTCTTGAGCGACGTTTGCACGTTGTGATCGATAGCGGTCGCCGCTGTCTTGAGCACGCTGTGGCCGGTGTCTCTCCGTGTTTTCTTGGATGCGCGAGGGGCACTCCGCCATCCAGTGACCAATCTTTCCGCAATTGTGGCACGGCCAGGACTTCTTCACTGGTCGCCCTTTGCGCTGATTGTCCCTTGTGATGAACGCTTGACCTTGCGAAGCTTCATCACCTTTACTTCCTTGCTCCCTCCGCTTCATTTCTTCATGAAGCAGTCGAGACGTCACGAGCTCCCAGCTAAGAGTGTCTGAGCGCGACTCCAAAGCTGTGATCAAGAATTGATACGAGTCACTCAGGCTGCCGAGGAGTGTGATCACCAGATCGTCCTCGCAGACTGGAGCCCCCACCGCTTCTAGCTGTTCCGCCAGCGTCTTGAGCTTGTTGATGTGTTCGAGCACATCGTCGCCTTCTTCCATCATTGTCGTGAAGAAGCGACGGCGCAAGAACAGCTTGTTGGCAAGACTCTTCTTCTCGAAGTGGTCTTCCAACCTTGACCATGCGTCGCATGCACCACTTGCCGACCGGACCAACGGTAGCTGGGAATCTTCCATGGCTAGACAGATCACTGCCATCGCCTTTCTTGACTTCCTCTTGTACGTCGCTTGGTCCAACTGAGTCTCGCACTGTTCCGCCTTGATCTCACCGCTGACGACCTCCCATAGGTCCCGTTCCTCCAGCACCATCTGCATCTTGAACTTCCAGGCGTGGAAGTTAGTTCCATCGAACTTGGAGATGCGGAGGGAGGAGGCGTCCATGGCAGCTAAGCTTGAATTGTTGGCGGTTTCAGAGTCTGACGAACTTGGGCTCATAACCTGATGAACTTTAGACTTCTTGGTCCGAGTGCAAAACGCAAAGTGAATATATATTTATAATAGGTACTTAGTTCGCAACTTTGAATACTACCTCTAAGCCTATTATTCGCAGTGACGTCATCCAGTGACGTCACCCACTGACGTCACCCACTGACGTCATGCAATGACGTCATCCAGTGACGTCATTTCCTGACTTCGCCCTTACTGGTACATACCGGTACCCACCGGTATAGCGAAGCTTGGTCTTCCACTTGCTTCAACACTTGACGCAGCTTGACGAGGTGTCTTCTTCACAGCCGCTGTCTTTTCAACAACGCCGACTACATTCAAGTCGGCGATGGAATCAAGCGACTCCGGCAAGTGGAAAGAAGCGTGTGACTCGGAGTTCGATTCGCTTCAGAGAAACGACACGTGGGATATTGTGCCTCTTCCGAAAGGTCGCAAGGCCATCGGGTGCCGATGGGTTTTTCGTGTAAAGGAGAATCAAGATGGCGAAGTTGAGCGTTTCAAGGCAAGACTTGTGGCCAAAGGATTCTCACAGAAATTCGGAGTTGACTATGAAGAAACTTTCGCACCGGTGGCCAAGTTCACATCGATTCGTGTGGTGCTCAGTATGGCGGCTAAGTACGGCCTAATGCTACATCAGATGGACGTCAAGACAGCGTTTCTTAACGGCTCCCTCAACGAAGACATCTACATGGACCAGCCGGACGGATACCTGGATGCAACACAGCCGGACTATGTGTGCAAGCTAAAGAGATCACTCTACGGCTTGAAGCAATCGCCTCGCATGTGGAACCAAACAATCGATGGGTTCATGATCAAGATGGGATTCAAGAAGTGCGAATCGGACCACTGCATCTACATCAAGCGAGACGACCAAGACATGATTCTCGTGGTGCTCTACGTCGATGATCTCATCCTGGCCAGCAGCAACAACGAACTCCTCAAGTCAACCAAGATGGCGCTGAGCAAACGCTTCGAAATGACGGATCTCGGTGAGCTCGATTACTTTCTCGGCATGGAGATCAAGAACGACCGTAAGACGGGAATGGTGACTGTACAACAAACCAAGTTTCTCAAGTCCGTGTTAACCAAGTTCGGAATGGATAACAGCAAGCCAGTGAAGACGCCTCAAGATCCCGGCCTGAAGCTAACCAAGAACATGTGTGAACAAGAATGCAAGCACGAAGACACCATGTGCAACGTGCCATATCGAAGTGCTGTCGGAGGCATCATGTATCTCATGGTCGCCACACGTCCGGATCTAGCTGCTGCAGTGGGATCATTATCCCAGTTCTCGTCCGACCCATGCCCGACTCACTGGCAAGCTTTGAAGCGTGTGCTGAGATACCTGCAAGCAACGCCCAATCATGGTCTTGAGTTTACACGTGAAGAAGGAAGCCGTATCTGCGGGTACACCGACGCAGACTGGGCCGGCGACATTGAGTCAAGACGAAGTACAAGCGGCTATGTGTTCATGATGAGCGGAGGATGCATCAGCTGGAAAAGCCAGAAACAACGGACGGTCGCGCTATCTTCAACAGAAGCAGAATACATGGCGCTTTCCGAAGCAACCAAAGAAGCAGTATGGCTCAAGGTGCTTTTGGGGGAACTTGGTGAGATGACAAGCGACGAAGCGATCAAGATGTATGAAGACAACCAAGGATCAATCGCTCTCGCCAAGAACCCGGAGTTTCATAAGAGAACAAAACACATCGACATACGCTACCATTTTGTGCGTGAGAAGGTGGAATCAGGTGAAGTCGTTTTGGAGTATTGCCCGACTCAAGATATGCTGGCAGACATGATGACCAAGCCGATCGCCGCTGTACAATTTGAAAACATTCGCGATCGACTTGGGATCAAGGTGCCGCAGCTAACGAGTCGAGAGGGTGTTGAAAAAGACAGCGGCTGTGAAGAAGACACCTCGTCAAGCTGCGTCAAGTGTTGAAGCAAGTGGAAGACCAAGCTTCGCTATACCGGTGGGTACCGGTATGTACCAGTAAGGGCGGAAGTCAGGAAATGACGTCACTGGATGACGTCATTGCATGACGTCAGTGGGTGACGTCAGTGGGTGACGTCACTGGATGACGTCACTGCGAATAATAGGCTTAGAGGTAGTATTCAAAGTTGCGAACTAAGTACCTATTATAAATATATATTCACTTTGCGTTTTGCACTCGGACCAAGAAGTCTAAAGTTCATCACGGCAAAACTACCAAGAGGCCAAGGCGCGATCGGCACCAAGTGGGTGTTCAAGATCAAGCGCAAAGCGGATGGATCGGTCGAGAAATACAAGGCGCGTCTCGTTGCCAAGGGCTTCAAGCAGAAGTACGGCATCGACTACACAGAGACGTTCTCGCCCGTGGTCAAGTACGTGACACTGCGTATGGTGATCGCGATCACCAAGTATTTCGACTGGCCACTGGACCAACTCGATGTGGTGACAGCCTTTCTCTACGGAGTGATGAAGGAGAAGGTGTACTGCGTGGTACCAGAAGGCGTCGAGATGGATGGCGACTTCGACTGTCTCGAGGATTGGTGAAGGCGATCTACGGTCTCAAGCAAGCTTCACGTGTGTGGAACGAGACTTTCGATGAGTTCGTATGCTCTATCGGTTTCGAAGCGTCGGCGTTCGACCCATGTCTCTACATCAAGGTTGTCGATGGTCACTGTGTGCTCGTGCTGGTCTACGTGGATGACGTGTTGGTCACCGGCAGCTCGCTCGAGTTGATTGCGCAGACGAAGGCCGACCTCAAGACGCGTTTCGAGATGACCGACAGTGGCAAGTGTACTTTTGTACTGGGCATCGAACTGGTGGACGAATCGGATGGCAGCGTGACGATGTGCCAGCGACGGTATGTCAACGACATCCTCAAGCGCTTCGGCATGGATGAGTGCAAGGCCACATCAAGTCCGGTCGACTTGAGCACTCGGCTTGTCGCAAGCACCGAAGCGGCCAAGATCGACGTTCCGTTTCGTGAAGCTGTGGGAGCTTTGATGCACTTGACGACTGCGACGCGCCCGGACATTGCGTATGCTGTGGGGTACGTCTCGCGCTTCATGGAGAATCCGCAGCAAGAATATTGGACGGCGGTGAAGCGCATCTTTCGTTACTTGCAAGGGACCAAGTCGCACGGACTCCGATTCCAGCCAAGCGATAAGATCGACTTTCGTGGCTACTCGGACGCGGACTGGGCCGGCGACCACGCTGATCGCAAGTCGACTTCGGGTTACACTTTCATGCTGATGGGTGCTCCTGTGAGTTGGGGAAGCAAGAAGCAGTCAAGTGTGTCGCTGTCGACGAGTGAAGCGGAATACATCGCACTGAGTCTGGCCATCCAGGAAGGCAAGTGGGTGCATCGCCTGCTATGCGAGATTTTGGCGGCCGCAAACGAACCAGGACCGGACCTCGTCATCCGTGAAGACAACCAGTCGTGCATCAAGATGACAAAGAATCCGGTGAATCATGGCCGCGCCAAGCACATCGACATCAAGTACCATCACATCCGTGATGAGGTCAAGCGCGGTGAAGTGCAGCTCGAGTATTGCGAGACTTCCGTGATGATGGCGGACATCATGACCAAGGGACTTTCGGGACCTCGTCACAAGGACTTGACGACGGCTCTCGGCATTCGTGCGAGTTCGGATTGAGGGGGCGTGTTGACGGTCATCGGTTTTCTACCAGTATTGGTAACCGTGACCGGTCCAATCCGAACCGCCTGTTCAGCTTAGTATTTACGACGTAGTTCTTACGGTAATTACCATAGTTGATTAGACGCGTAGGATGATGAGACGCTTCACATGATTTATATGTGCACCACATATAAATCATGTAGTAAGTAGTAAGCCCCGATAATCAATCACTTTCCAATCTTCCATCTACCCCAAGTGTCTTCTCCGGTCTTCCGAGTGGACTCTCAGCATCCCTCCCAGTTTCGGTCGTCAAGCTCTTCATCATTCAACAGAAGGTACTTCACGCGCTTTCCGGTTTGCGTTTCGGCCATCGCAGCGTATTCCATGAACTTCGCCGCAACTTCAGATTTGCTCTTGAGCAGATAGACGACACAGTATCTTGACTTGTCATCGATGAATGTCACGAAGTACCGTTTTCCACTGAAAGTTGCCATCGACATCGGTCCGCATACGTCGCTGTGAATCACTTCGAGGAGTTTGGAGGTGCGAGCTGTAGTGTTTGATTGGAAGCACACTCGAGTCTGTTTTCCCAGAGCACAACCTTCACACACGTCCCACTTCTTCACCGAAGATATGTCGATGCCAATTCCAATGTTCTTCGTCACGATGCAATTGAGTCCATCGTGACCTATGTGGCCAAGCCGAAGGTGCCAGAGGTACGACTTGGTGCCCCCTTGACATCCCGACGACTTGGCTGCATTTGCTTGTTCTGGCGCCACTGGAGTCATTTGCAGCTTGAACAGTCCTTTACCTTCACGGGCACCAATTTTCCACTTGGTCCCTTTCGCTTCTCCATAGCACCCATCCTTCGTGAACGTCACTGGGCCGACATCCTTGGTGAAGCGGCCGACCGAGAACAGGTTTCTGGATAACTTTGGGATGTGCCACACGTTTGTGAGCACACCTTTCTTCATCCCTTGGGGTGTCTTCATCGACATGACAATGTCCCCACTGCCGATTGCTTGGACGATTCCATCATCCGCGAGATGGACATCCACAGCGTCAAACCCCTTGTAGTTCCGCATGAACTTCTTGGAGCACGTCATGTGCTGCGTCGCCCCGGAGTCGACCAGCCAGATGTCGCTCGATTTCGCAGATGTCGTTTCACCGATCGAAAAGAGGTAGTCGCCCGAGTCTTCTTCTTGAGCGACGTTTGCACGTTGTGATCGATAGCGGTCGCCGCTGTCTTGAGCACGCTGTGGCCGGTGTCTCTCCGTGTTTTTGGATGCGCGAGGGGCACTCCGCCATCCAGTGACCAATCTTTCCGCAATTGTGGCACGGCCAGGACTTCTTCACTGGTCGCCCTTTGCGCTGATTGTCCCTTGTGATGAACGCTTGACCTTGCGAAGCTTCATCACCTTTACTTCCTTGCTCCCTCCGCTTCATTTCTTCATGAAGCAGTCGAGACGTCACGAGCTCCCAGCTAAGAGTGTCTGAGCGCGACTCCAAAGCTGTGATCAAGAATTGATACGAGTCACTCAGGCTGCCGAGAAGTGTGATCACCAGATCGTCCTCGCAGACTGGAGCCCCCACCGCTTCTAGCTGTTCCGCCAGCGTCTTGAGCTTGTTGATGTGTTCGAGTACATCGTCGCCTTCTTCCATCATTGTCGTGAAGAAGCGACGGCGCAAGAACAGCTTGTTGGCAAGACTCTTCTTCTCGAAGTGGTCTTCCAACCTTGACCATGCGTCGCATGCACCACTTGCCGACCGGACCGACGGTAGCTGGGAATCTTCCATGGCTAGACAGATCACTGCCATCGCCTTTCTTGACTTCCTCTTGTACGTCGCTTGGTCCAACTGAGTCTCGCACTGTTCCGCCTTGATCTCACCGCTGACGACCTCCCATAGGTCCCGTTCCTCCAGCACCATCTGTATCTTGAACTTCCAGGCGTGGAAGTTAGTTCCATCGAACTTGGAGATGCGGAGGGAGGAGGCGTCCATGGCAGCTAAGCTTGAATTGTTGGCGGTTTCCAGAGTCTGACGAACTTGGGCTCATAACCTGATGAACTTTAGACTTCTTGGTCCGAGTGCAAAACGCAAAGTGAATATATATTTATAATAGGTACTTAGTTCGCAACTTTGAATACTACCTCTAAGCCTATTATTCGCAGTGACGTCATCCAGTGACGTCACCCACTGACGTCACCCACTGACGTCATGCAATGACGTCATCCAATGACGTCATTTCCTGACTTCGCCCTTACTGGTACATACCGGTACCCACCGGTATAGTGAAGCTTGGTCTTCCACTTGCTTCAACACTTGACGCAGCTTGACGAGGTGTCTTCTTTACAGCCGCTGTCTTTTCAACACAGAAGTCATATCGATTTGAGGAAGTGTCAACAGGAGCGATCAAGATCAGTCGCGATGCCACATTCATGGAAGACAAGTTTGATGAAGGTCCGCGCAACTACAACGATGAGTCAAGTGTCGTTGAGTTTGATGATCATGATGAGGACGAAGAAAAGAAGAAGGTAAAACTGACGACGACATGGACTCGAGCGACGATGACAACGAAGACACCAGGTCTTCGAAGAGCAACATCAAGAGACACACGCGCACTCAATCACTTGAGAAAGCTACCGTCATTCCAAGTCCCAAGCGAAGAACATACAGAGGTCCGTCGCTTGAGCATGTGTCAGCGGCTGCAATGGATTTTGAAGCAGCGTACATCATGGATTCAGTGGGGGAAATGCCGACTACGTTCAAGTCGGCTATGGAATCAAGCGACTCCGGCAAGTGGAAAGAAGCGTGTGACTCGGAGTTCGATTCGCTTCAGAGAAACGACACGTGGGAAATCGTGCCTCTTCCGAAAGGTCGCAAGGCCATCGGGTGCCGATGGGTTTTTCGTGTAAAGGAGAATCAAGATGGCGAAGTTGAACGTTTTAAGGCAAGACTTGTGGCCAAAGGATTCTCACAGAAATTCGGAGTTGACTATGAAGAAACTTTCGCACCGGTGGCCAAGTTCACATCGATTCGTGTGGTGCTCAGTATGGCGGCTAAGTACGGCCTAATGCTACATCAGATGGATGTCAAGACAGCGTTTCTTAACGGGCTCCCTCAACGAAGACATCTACATGGACCAGCCGGACGGATACCTGGATGCAACACAGCCGGACTATGTGTGCAAGCTAAAGAGATCACTCTACGGCTTGAAGCAATCGCCTCGCATGTGGAACCAAACAATCGATGGGTTCATGATCAAGATGGGATTCAAGAAGTGCGAATCGGACCACTGCATCTACATCAAGCGAGACGACCAAGACATGATTCTCGTGGTGCTCTACGTCGATGATCTCATCCTGGCCAGCAGCAACAACGAACTCCTCAAGTCAACCAAGATGGCGCTGAGCAAACGCTTCAGAAATGACGGATCTCGGTGAGCTCGATTACTTTCTCGGCATGGAGATCAAGAACGACCGTAAGACGGGAATGGTGACTGTGCAACAAACCAAGTTTCTCAAGTCCGTGTTAACCAAGTTCGGAATGGATAACAGCAAGCCAGTGAAGACGCCTCAAGATCCGGCCTGAAGCTAACCAAGAACATGTGTGAACAAGAATGCAAGCACGAAGACACCATGTGCAACGTGCCATATCGAAGTGCTGTCGGAGGCATCATGTATCTCATGGTCGCCACACGTCCGGATCTAGCTGCTGCAGTGGGATCATTATCCCAGTTCTCGTCCGACCCATGCCCGACTCACTGGCAAGCTTTGAAGCGTGTGCTGAGATACCTGCAAGCAACGCCCAATCATGGTCTTGAGTTTACACGTGAAGAAGGAAGCCGTATCTGCGGGTACACCGACGCAGACTGGGCCGGCGACATTGAGTCAAGACGAAGTACAAGCGGCTATGTGTTCATGATGAGCGGAGGATGCATCAGCTGGAAAAGCCAGAAACAACGGACGGTCGCGCTATCTTCAACAGAAGCAGAATACATGGCGCTTTCCGAAGCAACCAAAGAAGCAGTATGGCTCAAGGTGCTTTTGGGGAACTTGGTGAGATGACAAGCGACGAAGCGATCAAGATGTATGAAGACAACCAAGGATCAATCGCTCTCGCCAAGAACCCGGAGTTCCATAAGAGAACAAAACACATCGACATACGCTACCATTTTTGTGCGTGAGAAGGTGGAATCAGGTGAAGTCGTTTTGGAGTATTGCCCGACTCAAGATATGCTGGCAGACATGATGACCAAGCCGATCGCCGCTGTACAATTTGAAAACATTCGCGATCGACTTGGGATCCAAGGTGCCGCAGCTAACGAGTCGAGAGGGGAGTGTTGAAAAGACAGCGGCTGTGAAGAAGACACCTCGTCAAGCTGCGTCAAGTGTTGAAGCAAGTGGAAGACCAAGCTTCGCTATACCGGTGGGTACCGGTATGTACCAGTAAGGGCGAAGTCAGGAAATGACGTCACTGGATGACGTCACTGCGAATAATAGGCTTAGAGGTAGTATTCAAAGTTGCGAACTAAGTACCTATTATAAATATATATTCACTTTGCGTTTTTGCACTCGGACCAAGAAGTCTAAAGTTCATCAATCACTGCTTCACCCCAGTAGCTCTTTCCCAGTCCAGCGTGTTCCATCATGCAACGCGCACACTCGACCAGCGTGCGATTCATTCTCTCAGCTACTCCGTTTAGCTGAGGAGTATATGGAGGTGTGAACCTTTGTTGTATTCCCCGTTCCGCGCAGAATCGTGCCAGCTTGTCGGACTTGTATTCACCCCCATTGTCGCTTTGAAGGTACTTCACGCGCTTTCCGGTTTGCGTTTCGGCCATCGCAGCGTATTCCATGAACTTCGCCGCAACTTCAGATTTGCTCTTGAGCAGATAGACGACACAGTATCTTGACTTGTCATCAATGAATGTCACGAAGTACCGTTTTCCACTGAAAGTTGCCATCGACATCGGTCCGCATACGTCGCTGTGAATCACTTCGAGGAGTTTGGAGGTGCGAGCTGTAGTGTTTGATTGGAAGCGCACTCGAGTCTGTTTTCCCAGAGCACAACCTCTCACACACGTCCCACTTCTTCACCGAAGATATGTCGATGCCAATTCCAATGTTCTTCGTCACGATGCAATTGAGTCCATCGTGACCTATGTGGCCAAGCCGAAGGTGCCAGAGGTACGACTTGGTGCCCCCTTGACATCCCGACGACTTGGCTGCATTTGCTTGTTCCGGCGCCACTGGAGTCATTTGCAGCTTGAACAGTCCTTTACCTTCACGGGCACCAATTTTCCACTTGGTCCCTTTCGCTTCTCCATAGCACCCATCCTTCGTGAACGTCACTGGGCCGACATCCTTGGTGAAGCGGCCGACCGAGAACAGGTTTCTGGATAACTTTGGGATGTGCCACACGTTTGTGAGCACACCTTTCTTCATCCCTTGGGGTGTCTTCTATCGACATGACAATGTCCCCACTGCCGATTGCTTGGACGATTCCATCATCCGCGAGATGGACATCCACAGCGTCAAACCCCTTGTAGCTCCTGCATGAACTTCTTGGAGCACGTCATGTGCTGCGTCGCCCCGGAGTCGACCAGCCAGATGTCGCTCGATTTCGCAGATGTCGTTTCACCGATCGAAAAGAGGTAGTCGCCCGAGTCTTCTTCTTTGAGCGACGTTTGCACGTTGTGATCGATAGCGGTCGCCGCTGTCTTGAGCACGCTGCGGCCGGTGTCTCTCCGTGTTTTCTTGATGCGCGGAGGGGCACTCCGCCATCCAGTGACCAATCTTTTCCGCAATTGTGGCACGGCCAGGACTTCTTCACTGGTCGCCCTTTGCGCTGATTGTCCCTTGTGATGAACGCCTGACCTTGCGAAGCTTCATCACCTTACTTCCTTGCTCCTTCCGCTTCATTTCTTCATGAAGCAGTCGAGACGTCACGAGCTCCCAGCTAAGGGTGTCTGAGCGCGACTCCAAAGCTGTGATCAAGAATTGATACGAGTCACTTCCAGGCTGCCGAGGAGTGTGATCACCAGATCGGGGTCTCTCGCAGACTGGAGCCCCCACCGCTTCTAGCTGTTTCCGCCAGCGTCTTGAGCTTGTTGATGTGTTCGAGCACATCGTCGCCTTCTTCCATCATTGTCGTGAAGAAGCGACGGCGCAAGAACAGCTTGTTGGCAAGACTCTTCTTCTCGAAGTGGTCTTCCAACCTTGACCATGCGTCGCATGCACCACTTGTCGACCGGACCAACGGTAGCTGGGAATCTTCCATGGCTAGACAGATCACTGCCATCGCCTTTCTTGACTTCCTCTTGTACGTCGCTTGGTCCAACTGAGTCTCGCACTGT